TATATTTTCATAAATCACATCTCAATTATATAAATTCGCAATTCATGATGAATTGTTCTTAAGTTCGTATCCGATTATTTGATTTATCAATTTATCATTTATCTATACGATCTATATATTTATCTATACAAAATTTATTGGACCAATATTGGTTTATGGATAATAATTTTTACAATACTTTATATATAAATTATTTAATAATTATATTAAATTCAAATTATTGTTCTTCATAATACAAATTCGCAATTCACGATGAATTATTCTCGTACATTTATTAATGTTGATTTAATAATTATTCAAATTATTTATCATATACGTGAATCATAAAAACAAATTCAAACATTTTATTATATTCTTTTTTTTTTATTATTCTACATTTTTCTTTAAAACATAAATAATGCAGCACATGACAATGCTAAACGTTATTATTACTTATCGTTAGTAAATTATTTTTACATATGTGTGACTCTCTACCTATACGTAGATACAATTTTCTCGTGATTTAACTTGGCAAAAAGGAACCATGGTTGCTTTCATTGTTACGTTCACCGACGATGACTCCTCGTTCAATGACTTTTCACTTCTATCTTCTTCTTCCTTCAATTTTACTTCAAGTTTCACGATTACGATGTTTTACTCTTAGGTAATATTGTTACTCATAGGATTGGATAGGATAGTTTTGCAGGGGGGGTGGAAGGGGTGACGACAGTTTAAACAAAATTTGACTTCTTCTTCTTCCCCCCACACTCCCCCCTATCGGTATCATTCAACCCTTATCACTGATTTTGATAAGTATGCCAAAAAATTTTTAATATTGTATAGGAATAACATTATTAATTATATATTAGAAATTATTTATTTGAAACAGTAAGAATAATTTGAAATAGTTTAAATTATTTTAAATAATAAGAAATTATTAAATAGTAAGAAAATATCATTATTTATTATTTATTAGAAATGATTTATTTTAAATAATAAGAATAATTTTAAATATATATATAGTTTAAATTATTTTAAATAAGAAGAAATTA